TTCAGATTCTTAAATTAAAGCAGAAATTAATTAATTTAAATTTTGAGCCAGCATACAAAAATAAATTTATTTCTTGGGATACCTACTATATATTTGAGATAAATAATCCCTACTAATCTTCTGTAAAGTAGTTAAAAAAAAACAATTGGATCATCGTAATTTGTTAACAGTTTTCTACCCTTTTCTGTTTTTCTACACCGATTTTTTAGGGAAGAATCTATATAAATTCAATGATTCCTATCGTCGGCTAAAAGTCGTCTGGACTCTTCGATAATGATCAAATGTGGTAGGTATTTTTGGTGAACTATACCACATCTAACATCGTTAGCTTGAGTTTTCTTGTGTTAGGAGTTAAAGTTAGCCACTTGACAGATCTCTCAACAATACTTTTGGTTTGGGTTTAGGTGTCTAAATCTCAATAGGTAATCACCAAGTATACCTCAAGTTCTTGTTTAAATTAAATAGTTTTGTGAAATGTACAGACAGTCAGACAAACCGACAAACTAATGTGAGATATATAACCTGGCTAGTCAAAGGTAGAGATATCAAAGTCAACCAACCTAAACATTGCTGGTTTGGCAAACTTGACCAAACCGAGTAAATATCATTTCTACCGAAAATGCCAAACCACTACTAGTGGTTACAGTCCGTAACTCCCGTTGTTTTTCAACGAATCTTGACGATTTTTTTTTTTAACAAAGCTTTCCGAATACGTACTAATATACAGGGTCTCTCATAATTAGCTGCCAACCCTGAACAGGCCGATTCTATGATCAAAACTAAGTAAAAAAGTTCATATGGCCCTTGGTACTTTGCATGTGTAACTTTTTCATCTTTGACTTTTTAACAAATTGGACAGCAAATTCCGTTTTCCCGAACTGTTTTACGTTAAAAAGGTACTCTTGTTTCAAATCGTTATCTTTAACGGTTTCTGAGAAAATCGCTCTTGAATTAATCCCACTTTGGTCAATTTCATAGTAATTTAAACAAAANTATTCATGGTTCTACTAAGAAATGAATTTATAGATGTTTGCAAAAAATTTGCAAATCTAGCCCAGGTATATTGACAGGTAATTACCTCGCCTTAAATTAATTTATAAATTAATAAATAAAACACAAAAGCAATTTGTGCTTTGACTGCTGCTGTACTGTGTAAAAAGAGAATTTAAAAAAGTAATGCGATAGTTCTTTCTTATATTGGAATTTAATTAGAAAATATACGCGACAGAGAGTGTGATACGGGATACAATATATGAAACGGGAATGAGTGAGGAAGTACATATTGTACTTGTACATCCGCACTGAATACGATTCCCTGATGCGGATCTTTTGATGCGGATCTTTATGTTGATACATTTCGCATCATGCGGATCATTAAAAAGATCCGTATTGCCCATCTCTACTTACTATAGACGTACTCTTAATCATAACAAACTTTTCTTGAATAATATCCTGTTGCGTATTCGCTTACATGAAATTATCTTTGATGCGCATGCTCAGTAACATTGATATAATTTTAATTTATTAATTAATATAAAGGTCAATTATTGTTCTATAAATTTAAATATATGAATTCTATAATTATTTTATTTTGTCACTTGGGGTTTGAAACTTCTTAAATATTTCTAATATTGTCAGAATATCGCGATATTTCGTGTTTTTTTTTCACTTTCTTTACTGTCAAATATCAGCTTTCGAAAACTGCAGCATTATTATTGCAAAAAGCGATGGATGTTGACAAAATTTATGGAAAAGACGGTCGATCCAATGACCAACATGTGCGCCAAAGGCCGATTCAATTGCCGTGAAATTGCTGCTCCAGGTATTTGTTAATTAATCTAGTTCGCTTTTTTTGCAATTAATTGTTTAATTACTAAACGAGACGTTAATTTTAGAAGTTAATATCGTAGATATAGGTTCTAATTGATCCAAAGAAACGTATCGAAAAAGAAAAATTTCAAAAAATTGAAATTAAATAACCCTTTACAGCTAACAAAGTAGGATGTGCAAAACGGCGTTATAAACAAATGCCCCAGGGTCAGGCAAAAACCGCTCGGGAATTCGCTCTTTTTGCATTAAATAGAAATTTTAATTAAAAAAAGAGGTATCGCCTACGCCTCTTTGTTCCCAAAATAACTTTTTTTTATGTTAATTGTGAATTAACTATTGGATGTATCGGACCGGGATTTTAGAGACAATTAAGACAATTATTTCCAAAAAGTTTTACTTTGATAGTTCATGTAATAAAAGCGCTAACAGCTGTAAAAGTTAACGTTAATGAAAGGTCTGCACTAGGGAGTAGGAGCGCCAGGCCCGCGCACGCGCGTGAACACCCGCCGCCCTCATCGCGCGCGATATTTTTCAACCGAATTTGAAATGTTCATGTCGAAAAAATGGTGAAAAAATAAAAAATCAAATTTTTCTCACTTTTATTAATATATTTATTTTACAATTAAGTACAATCAAAAATAAAGATCTCTGTTTTAATCACAAATCAACACGGCTTTCATATTTGATAATATAAATTTTGGTCAAAAGAGCAAAATAAGTTTTCTCCCATTTTTTTCTTGCCTCCAAGCAATTATATGAACATAAACTTAACTTCTGAAGAAAAACTAAACTGAATTAAAATAAATATCAAAGCAAACAAATCCTGTTAGGTGTTTAAAATTTACCAAAGTGTAGAAAGTAAAAATTCCTAAGTATTCTTTGTATAATTATCTAAATACATAGAAAAGATCTATGATTAGTTTTGTATAAAATATTTTTAGGAATAAGTCAAAAACTTTTACTCATAATATAGTAAAAAAATGACAATCCTATAAAATAAACGAGGCTACAGTGCGGATTAGAATTAAATATTGTCGATTATAAAATCTTTTTTATATTGTGGCATTTTCGGTTACTTTTCGACTGCACCAAAAATAGTACATTCATTGAAGCTTTTCACCTCCGAATTCTTTGAAACTGAACCGATCGACTTGAAATTTGGCAGATAGTTAGAGAAAAGGTCAATGAACATTAGTGACATAGCGCCGATTGACGTTTCCACCCTGTTGGGGGTTGACACCCCTTCTCGGGGGTGGAAATTTTTTTTAAAAAATAACGCTGGAAATCGATAGATAATCAAATTTTAAGCAAAAAATATTCCAAGAATTTTTTCGAGAAATCGATAATTTTTTAGTTATCACGATTGAAAATTTGGGATTTTGAGTGAAAAAAAAAACACTTTTTCAAAGTATTTTTCGCGAATAACTCTAAATAATAAAACTACGAATTTTATTAAAAAAAAGTGTAATGAACAAAAATGTAGCTTATAAATAAACAAAGAAAATCGTTTTTTAAAAAGTGTTGTACGTCCTATACGAAATATGGTTAGTGGAAGGGGACTTGTTTTGGGGGGAATACTCGAATTGATGTATTCAACGTCAAATAACGGAAAAAGGATTAATTTTGTATATAACACTCCTGCAGTTTTTTGTAGCACTCAAAAAGACCTTCAAAATGAGCAAAATTGAAGGAGTTATCGTCAAAAACAGATGGGTTTGCTCCTATTTTTTAAGGAAAAATAAGCAGTAAACGCTGTACCATTTCCATCAGAATTAAAATTAATCGTAGATCCTTTACAATTAGTTTTATTTTAGTGTTTTTCATACGATCCTGAAGTTAGACCGGTTTAGAATGCGTATTTTTTTAATAATGTACGGTAAAAGTTGAAAACGTATTTTTCATTATTCAAAAAAAATTGCCTTATTTATATAATAACTCTGAAACTATGAAAGATACGTAAAAAATGATAGACAACAAAAATGTAGCTTTTTTTTCAACAAATATTTTGCTTTTTTTATTCCTATAGCATAAAAAATAAAGGAGATATCGCCGCTTGAAGTATCCATTTTAGTGAAAAAACGACCTGTCTCGAGCCCTTCGATCCTTTCCCTTTAAAAAACGAAGGACTTAAAAGGTTTTATATGCAAACGATCTTACAGCTCTTGAAATTATCTTTAAAATGCTTTTTTGTAGGATACTATAGCTTCAAAATTAACCGAGTTATGGTAAAAAAACCAATGACATTTTTTCGGAGCAAAATAGGCTTTCTCATTTTTATATATTATATATTATATTATACAAATAAAATAAGTAAAAAAATTTAGTGTGATTATTTATATGCAGCGTAGCAATTTTTTTATGATTGATTATATTTAAAAATCGATTATAATAAAAATATTTTACATTAATATTGGTAAAAGGGTAGTTTATAAGAGTTGAAAATGGCAAAAGTAAAATATTCTTTCATAAACAATATAAGGGAATTTTTATTTTAAATTATTGCACAATTATAGCATTCCAAGATTTAAAACGTAATTTTTTATCATTTTTTTAGCACAGGGGTGATTTATAAGGGTTGAAAAGTGTTATGAGATACAAATTCTTTCATAAGCAATGAGGGAATTTTTATTTTAAATAATTGCACCGTTAAAGCATTCCAAGCTTTTAAAAAGTAATTTTTTATCATTTTTGTCAATACAGGGGTGGTTTTTAGGGGTTGAAAGGGAAAAATTCTTTTATTAGCTATAAGGTAACTTTTATTTTAAATAATTGCAGGATTTAATCATTCCAAATCTTTAAAAACTAATTTTTTATCATTATTTTTTGCATAGGGGTAGTTTTTAAGGGTTAAATAAAGGGCCGAAAAGATCAAATATATCATAAAACATGTTCGAGAACATGGAACATTATTTAATCTTTGTGCTTCAACAAGATTTTTATCAATAAAATGCTTAAAACTTAATTTTTTCAATTTTTTTCACTTAGGGGTAGTTTTTACCCCTAAAAAACAAAAAGCGTCACTAGGGCTTATGTCACTTTTGAACTTGAGCCTAAGATGAGCCTTATTCTAAATTTTCATGCAAATCCATGCTGTTTCAAAGAATTCGTAGGTTACAGCTGATTTTCAACTTCAATGCCTATACTGAAAGGGATTAGTCAAACAAAAGGAGTTTAAAATTAAAAAGAATGCTTTTATAATTTTAATCAAAATACAGTCTTATACCGCAAAAAATACAAGCCCAAACGTGTAAAGATGTAAAAATTTGGAAGTTAAGATACAGTTTACGACGTAAACCGTAAAAAATTCCTAATCAGAAGTTCCACACCCACACCGCTTGCGCCCGTCAATAAACTATCAGTCGGATATATAAAAAAAACCTATTCGCTCTCGACCAAAAACTCCTCGAACAACTTAACCAGGCTCTCGATGCCCTCCAGGTAATTCCTATCTATATCACAATTCTCGGCCGGGAACACGTGCGCGAAGTCGATCATCTTCGCCGTGGCCCAGCACTCGGATTTCTGTTCGGAGCAGAGCTGCTCCAGCATGTACGCGTAGTTCTGCTTCTTGTGCTGCACGTCCTTGTCGTAGTTGTTCTGGAAGGAATGCGTGCGTCTTAAGGTGTGGATGGACTTCTGCCACGTGTTGTTGTTGTTGACGACGCATGGCACTTCTAGGTTGACTAGCTTGTTGGGTGATGTGGGCGACCGCAGGATCGGACCCTCCTTCGTTAGTTGGCCGCTGAACCTGGAAAGCCGTCAAAATTACATCCCAAATTATAATTTTTAACCAAATAAGCAAGTTATAATCCGTTTTTTAAATTGTATTTAAACTCTTGTCTACGTCGCTACTGGGCAGCAACCAAACTCGGTTGTATGCGCTTGTTGTTACGTTTTTAAATCATGTGTATGAAACTAATTGACTGGCAGAGAGTAAAACTGCAATGGAAAATAATTTTGTCTAGGAAAGTTAAGACATAAAAAGAGATTTTACATAATATCTCTAAAAAATCAAGGCTAACATGATTAGTTTTCCAGATATTTGAAAAAATAACGGAATTATGGAAATCCGTTTTTGTTTCATTTCAGGACAAAAAGAAGAACACTTTCTCAGGCAACTTTTTGCCCTCTATCGCATGGCATAATCAATTTTTATATGTAACGTTTCGTCTCTCCAGGACCATCATCAACTTTATTTTTTTAAATACGTCCCTGGAAATTTTATTACATTTTTTGCAAGCCTTAATGACCCCCAATACTGTACTGCCTCAGCCCGAAACAGATTCAGACGTTTTGTCTCGAAAAATTAATCTTTGTAAAAACCTGTATATGATTTTTCGCAGTTTTTTAATAAAAACTGCCCAATATCTCAATGAAGATGCATTTTTTCGAAAAAAAGTTTCAAAGAATAGTCATTTAAAATTTTTCCTAAAAAATTGTTGCTATGAAATATTTCGATTTACTAAATAGTTTTCCCGTATATTTTTTTAAATGCAATCCAAGTAATTGATGATACTGAGGATAATATTGATGATCCAGCAGATAATAATAATAATAATAATAATAATAATAATAATTTATTCGTAGAAAATACAGATAAAAAGTAAATCAATATTAAAAGCTATACGAATAAACAATACTTGATAAGTTTACACTTGTTTCAAGAACATAAAGTAAAATATGAACATACATCACAAAATGCCTATCACAGAAAAACATCAAACATGTATATAATAAAACAAAAACAGGAAAAAAATAAATACATAATTATACAGAGAGAAGAAAAGTATGTATGTATATATTTACGGAATCAGTCAATTCGGATAAATTGTATTAATAAAAATATTTACTTATTGTTTCCCGAGGAGTTTCTAATATGTACATTTTAACTTTCCACTTGAATGCATACATTGATAGATTGCTTACTTTCAAAGAATCAGGTACAATGTTATATAGTTTAGGTGCTAAATATAGTAGTGATCTTTGGCCCAAATTTTTTTGCATAAAGGGAGATAAGAACTTTTGTTTTCTTCTAGTTTCTAATTATGAGACATTTCATGCTTATTATTAGTATAATGATACCTACAAACACAGTTGTAGTAATAAAGTTGTCTTACATCGAAGACTTTAGCTTCAAGGTACAACTCATTACTAGGGTAAATTAATTCTTTTTGTAACATCATCTTTAAAAATCTTTTTTGTATAATTGTGAGAGGTTCAATGTGACTACTAACCGCTGAACCCCAAGATAGTACAGCGTAATTTATATGACTCTGTATTAAAGCATGATAGACCATTTTTAGATGAAAATAATAAAGTTAGATCTGATTATGAAAATAAGTTATTGAAATTGAACCTGATGTTTTTATTTATGGAAGATGATATATATTATATATTATTATAAAATCTCAAGAGGATAACGAAGATAACGAAGAAGACGAATACTGCGACAGCGATGAAGCAGTTTTACATAAGAAACCCAGATATGGAAGTCCATAGAAAATAGTTAAAAATAATAAATGAAAAAGTTGTTTTTTAATTATAAATAAATTAAAAAATATATCCTATTTTCCTGGACTAACATATTATTTTAAAGTCACTATACCTTTTTATGTCAATACTGACGAAACGCCAAACATTGAAAAAGTTTTTAGTATTTATAAAATATCAACTAATATTCGTACGTGTAACTATAGGGAAAATTAATTTATATTTAAAATTAGTATTGCTAATGTTTTATAAATACACATAACAAATTTAAATGCTGATCTGACAGATTTGAAACAATTTTTAAAATCATTTTTGTTACCATTGTTTAGCACTGCGTTTAGTTTGTTACCTAGTTTAGGTGAACTTCATAATATCAATGCACCTGATGAGATATGACAACAAGGAGCTAGGCAGACAAAAAACAAGTAGTCTGTAGGTTCTATTATTTACTGATGGCTTGATGTGTTTGTGTATCTTCATTGTATGTATACGATTAATCATATGTGCAAGAAAAAAACAAGATGGGATTCTGCAACAATGTATGCCATAGCTTCCAAATGGGTATAAGCTTTTGTGAATTTTATTTATACAAATTTTAATTTTAAAAAGATTTAGAAAAAAAATGTAAATAGCATAAAAAAATGATTTAAAGATCTCCATATTTTGTAAATTTATAAATGGTTTTAAAAATGTGAAATACAAAAGATGCACGACTTTTTATGAAGTTTTCGAAAATGATAGTAGAAAAACAAATGAAGTCCAAACAAAGTGAACACCCTGTATATTTTTTCATATTTGGATAGAACGGTGAACGGTCCATATCGATCACAGTCGTATAGGGTTTGTTGGGTTCATCTCTAACAATAAGCGAGATATTAAATGTTATATATTCATAGAAAATGTGCCACATTTGACCCAGCTATGCACAGCGTCCTCAAAATTTTGCGGCCACTACAGTAACCTTCAAAGGTTGAAAACTTTTTTTTTTTCAAACAGAACCCCAAGAATTTTATTAGTCAGGACTATGTAGAATTAAATTCCGCGTCCATTGATATAGACTAGAGGTTTCCTATACTTATATTCAACGGTTTCGAAGATAATCGCGATTATTTATAAAAGAGGAACTTTAACAAAAATGTTTTATATCCGAAACTTTAATTAATCAAATTAAAGACAATAAAATACACGTATAACTTCAAAGGAAATATTTGGGGAGAACTTTACTCAACTAACGAATGCAAATATCAAGATAAGAAAGCTCTTGACATGGACTAATCTATGTTTCATAGACAACTACATATTAGGCGAATTACTAATCCGCGTTGTTCCAGATGAAATCTTGATGAAGCATGGATACTTATGGATTTGTCTGATAACAATTACGTCGTCAGCTAATACCCCAACGATGTCAGAAAATTACTCACGGATTAGTAATACGCCAAACCTGTAGTTGTTTATGAAACACCTCTGACTTTCAGAAACAAATATAAGTTTGAATTCCCGTTTTGAAAACAGATTTTGTTTTGTTTTCGAGAGTCACAAAATTGACCATTGTATTACAAAAACTTTCACGTAAAACCATGTTAAACTTAAAATTTAAAAAAATGTAGTAAAATGAAGAGGTGATGTATTTGTCCATTCTCATTTTGCCAAATTAATTTTGACCATTTATTTTTTACTTGCCTTAAAGCCCTGTTGTCATATCCCATCAGGTGGATTAATATTATACAGGGTGTTAGAAGTTTGACTGCCTTAATTTTAACAGACGATAGAATTTATTAAAATAAACAAAAAAAAACCTTATCTGACATATATGGGTCCTAAACTCAACCATTTCCGAGAAAAAAAATTATCAAAATCTCCTACTTGATGTACAAAGGTTCGATTAATTAAGGAATATTGACATAACTGTGTGCATAGAATACCATAAAATACAACTTTTTTAACTTCTGTATGCTTAATTTAAAAAATAATAATTAAAAGAATAATCATTTTTTTATATCTTAGAACCCTGTTGTACGAAAATCACTAAATTTGGTACACAGGGATTTTATGACACGTGGAATCTGATGGAGCTACGTTTTTTGGCGGGGAACCTCCTTAAGACAATTTTTCGTGGGCCCCCTTGTCTTTGAAGCCAAAAAAATTTGGTCGCATATTTAAATTTCTTAAAAATTATCAGTCCACTAGAAAGCCATTAAATTTAGAAACTTTTTGTCTCTTTATACTTTTTCGTAAAACGCAATGTTTTCGTGAAAAATGTCAAAATGTGATCGAATGCATATATTCATTCATATATCGTGATTCGCCATTTTCCTCAAAAACCTTGCGTTTTACGAAACAAATATCAAGAAGCAAAAAATTTTTCTGGTTCCAAAGACAAAGGGGCCCACGAAAAAGTGTTTTAAGGGGGTTTCTCGCCAAAAACGTAGCACTGTGAGATTCCACATCTCATAAAACCCCTGTATACCAAATTTAGTGTTTCTCGTACAACATGGTTTTAAGATATAAAAAAGACTTCTTAGGGGCAGATTTCAGGGGGCTGTAATTCCGAA